TTATACATTTTTGAGTTGTATATTTAACAAGTAAATTTTCTATGTAAAATTTAATTAAAAATTGAACGAAATAAAAAAGTTGAAGGGGGGTGACTGTCGATCAGGTCTACCAAAAACACCTTGCTGGCTGGCGTGTGGCGTTTAGGCGGCGCTCTGTTGATAATTTGACAGTTCCGTCTATTATCTCGTGTACCATTCGTTCGCTCATGAGGAAACTCGATGATATCAGCAGCATGATACACCAGAGGGAATGCAAGAATGTAGGGGCTATTCTACTCCAGGGAAGAGGGTTACACCCTGATACTGAGGACAATGTCGTGCATCTTAAGGGATTTGACATATTCCGAGGCGACCGTAATGTGGATCTCCTTCACAGATGTGGTGGAGTAGTCACGTTCGTCAACAGGAAATGGTGCAAAAACGCTCGTAAATGTTTTCAATTTAATGCTGCCAAGATAAATTTTATTTCTGTTTATTGTAAGCCCCGATTTATCAGTCACTTTCATCATATTACATTAGCGAACATTTACATCGCTCCTGACACGCCTGTCTCTGACATTCGTCTGTTTGTCGACTCCTTCTCTTCACAACTTGTAACCGGTTTAGACCAGTCTTTATGCATTGCTGCTGGTGATTTTAATCGTTTTAATATCTCTTTCCTTACATCTTTAGGCTTGGCGAATCTTGTAAATTTTCCTACCCGGCTTGGTATTCAATTTGACGGGATTTTTGTAAATAGCCCCGATATCTTCTTCATTGAGGAGCGGGCTCCCATAGGTAGCTCCGATCATTGCTCTATTGTTTTGCACCCCAAGATTTACGGTAAATATTTTCAGCACCATATGAACCGTTCCACATCCAGAACTATCAGAAGAAGTCGCACTCCTGAAAACTTATCCAAACTTAAAGATATGGTTTCACCTACCGATTTCTGCCTTTGCCAACGCTGACAACTCTTCCAGTTATGAGCATCTTACATGTTATCTTAATTTTTGCTATGATCTGTGTTGCCCAGTTGAGACCTTATGTATTCGAACTGACAGATTATGTTCGCTTCTTCTAAAACGGCTTCGTCGTGATAAAGAAAAGGCTTACAGGACTGGAAGGCGCAGGGTTGTCAAACAACTATCATTATTGATCAAAATGGAAATACAGCGCCTAAATCGGATATATATCGAAACTCTTATGGGAAACTAGAGCTGCCGCGATATGTGGTCTGCTTTGAAGCAGCTCTGTGGATCACGCAACAAATCTTTTCCGAATGTTGAGGAGCTAAACCGTCAATTCGCAAATGCTACTATAAGGAACTCAACACCATCGTTATTTACTTCTACTGGGGAGAACCAATGTCACCCCTATGGAAGTCCTGAATGTACTCAAGTCCCTCAAATCTAACAAGGCACATGGCCCTGATTCGTCTTCCTACTGAAAGAGTGTGTTGAACAACTTGCTTCGCCTGTTTCTGAGTTGTTCAATTTGTGTAGGTCATCTGGAAGCATCCCTGATTGTTGGAGAGCTGCTCGGATAACCCCAATTCCCAAAAAGGATTTTCCTAATATCGACCGATTGCCTGCACATCAGCATTATTGGAAGTTTTCGGCTGACCCTTTTATGTCACCCGTGACCCTATTCAGTTTGCATACAAACGTTCGCTTTCCACTCTTGATGCTGTTGTTCACTCCGTCTCATCCTTATTGGATAAAGGGGCTGGCATCGTACGTTTAAATTTCCTTGATTACGCTAATGCTTTTGGATCACTTGACCGCGGCATTCTCATTCAACGTCTTTTGGATTGTAGTCTGGCACCTAATTTACTGAATGTAATAATTAATTACTTTACTCATCGGTCGCAATATACTTTTTGTAACGATAAATCTTCCTCCCTGCTAGAAGTTAATTCTGGAGTTTTTCAGGGTGCAATTTTGTCTTCATTTCCTTTTTTTGTATATTAAGGACCTTCCCATCCCTCCCAACTTTATCGACTGCAAGTATGCTGATAACGTGGTGGTCGGCTGTCCCTCGACTGTTCCTGATTGTTTCTGTCAACTTCAAGTTTGTCTAAATAAAATTTTAGTTGGTCGACTTCTCGATCTTTATTGCTAAATGTAGATAAATGTGTGGATGTTTCTTTTAGCCTCAAAACAGGCATGCCTTATCAAACCCTTTGAGCAACCAGCCTGTACCTTCTGTTAATGGTAATACCATCCCCAAAGCTAACTCTGTGAAATATCTTGGAGTCACTTTGACACACAATCTTTCTTGGTCCAAACATGTTGAAAACGTTTATATTTAGGTTCGTAGACTATCCTTCTACGCTTTTAGGCTTAAAAATCTCAGCGTTCCCTTAAACGTAATTCTTAAATTTGTGACTGCATGCATTCTTCCCCATTGGTTGTACTGTTCCCCCGTATATTTTCCTGGTCTGAAGGAGAAAGACTTTATTCTCTTTTCCAGATCTCTTAAACTTCTTTCTCGTTGCAGCGGCATTTCAAAGACCGTTTTGGTTGACTTTATTGTGAGCAAGCATTTTGATTCATGCTATCGATTTATCAGCCATATCCTGTCCGATGAAGAACACTGCCTGCAATCCCATCTCAATAAATCGGTGTCTCATCCGAGTACCCGTTCCCAATTTCGGATTCTTTTTGCACTCACGACCACACACAAAAACAGCATGATCCCTTATTTTGCTCGTATCTTGGTCAACCGAGTAAATATTATTACTGACCTGAACAATCATCTGTCACATTAGGCTTTTATCTGATCCGTTTGTTTCAAGTTTAGTACATGTATATTTCTTCTTTTTCCAATGCTTAACGTCTTCCTCACTGTAACTTGTCGAAAATGCTGAAAATTCATCCTATCGGGTGCATAAAGCTTTACTTGGCTTGAAACAGGTTTTCAAAATCATCAACAATCGGGAGGAAACTGAAAATTAACTTTTCTTCGAAAGTGTACTGGGAATTGAGCTATACGAAACAAACTTTCGAATAAATGGATTTATTTTGAAGCAATATGTACAAACCTGGTGCTATCATAAATCAATAACGATATTTTGTGGAGTAGTCTTTCGGAGAGACAACAAGACCTCTTCCTTTGCGAGCTCCTCGAAAAACCGTCTCAATTATATCGATCATTTCTTGTCCATCTTCGATTGGCCAGTTGATTTTATTATTGTTACCGGTACCCAAGTCAATCATGATGTGCTTGTTCCGATAGAAGAACATAACCGTGCATGGATCATATAATTCGTACATTTTGTTGAAGTCTGGGACTTTGGTGATATCAACCAAATAAATAACGGCGAAATTTTTCACCTTTTCAGCGATCTTGAATAATGTCTCGTCCATTACCATGCACGATGGATCCCAGTCGTGTCCAAAACGGATAATCACCACACGGTCCTCCTCCGACAGTATCGCTTGGTCAACTTGCCACCCGTTCGTGAGATGTGACAGCATGTACGACATGGTGAGAGCACTGTTTGGAAGAACAGGAAACAGAAATTTTTAGCTGAAATAATAAAAAACAAGTTTCTTTGCGACAAGAATGAAGAGATAGAAATTTTTCTGGGTTTCCTGATTAACTGAAATATCTTTCTATTTTTTATTCACCAACAGTCGGTGTCCAAGAAGCAGGTTTTGATAGGAATTCTGATCGCATGGTTGTCTGTGACTTCGATTAGCCCCATAAAACCTGATAAGAACTGTTGGTATCCGCAAAGTCAACTTAGGAAAAGCCTTAGGAAAATGAAAACTGGTAGATCAAAGTACCTAACGAAATGGAAGTAGCCGCTGTATCAAGGAATAGTCAGAGACTGTTTCGCCTGATACATAACACAGAAGTATGTCAAATACCGGTCAGCGAATCCATTTGCGATAAAAGTGGAGCAGTAGCTTGATCACGGGGCAGTGTTTGAGTTGACCTAATCCTACCTCGGTTATGCCTGAAGCTGTAGCCGAAACTCCCCACCTAAATAGCTGGAAGCATGATATTATACTACGTTTCTGAGGCAAGCAAAAGCAACTAGACCTCAGAGTCTTCTTCCCATTCTTTTTCGGATGAGAGGTGAGTCAGTCAACGACTACTTCATTTTCAGTTTAAGAATCCATTTACCATGCACTTTTATGTGTCGGTTCTGTCTTTTAGCTACCCGTTTGGATGAAGCAGTGGGATAAAGATAAGTTTAGGTAAAGTCGAAGATAAACCGGAAAATTTCAGCAGACTAATATTGCAAAGAAATCGAGATTCACGAACACCACTGTTTACGAAACTGCCGTATTACTCAGTGTATCTAACCATTGATTGCAATAATCCATGGGGCTCAAACCAACGCATATGATCGACTCTCCTGGTTAAGGTCTTCAGGACTCATTTTGACCACCTTTGCCATTTTCCACTCAACACCTGCCTTGGCAAACATCGCAGGCTGTGGCAACTTATTTGGTGACATGCGTGACATATGCCCCAACCAGTGTAATCTATGGAGGTCGACCACTTGCTCCGGTGGGCAACCGCGATTACCTAAAACTCTACGCCTTACCTATGCATTGCTCCTCCGGCTGCCCCACTAGATTCATGCAATGCTGCGTAGACAGTAATTTTCGAACGCCGACAACCTATCTCTATCCTGTTTCCTTATTGGCCAAGTTTCTGCGATGTATAGCACAAGTGGTCGAACTGCCGCAGCATTCATTCAACCCTTCACGGACAGCAGGATGTCGCGACGGCACCACAGCTGGCTCAAGTTGGCGGACACCAAATCGAGCCTTCTGTATGCGTATCGACACTTCATCTGTGATGCGCCCACCGCGTGAGATGTGGCTGCAAAAATAAAGTGCTCTATTACTTTCCCAGGTTATAACGAGGTTGAGTATGAGACCAACCTAGTCCTGTAGCAACATTTTGCACTTTGAAGGTGAAAAAGCACATTGCACATAGCTAGACTGGAAACCCTGGCAGTACTCCTCCATAAAGCTCCAAGGAATAATTTCATACTGCATCGGTCGTTGCGCAGAATAATCAGGGCCGGGCTGCCCATTGCATCGAGCGGGATGGGTAGTGATAAGTGAGCTACTGCTCGGAAATCCCAACTTTTCTTTAATTCTGTCTTTCGTACCCAACCCTCTCCCTTTACTCCTTCTTCCGACCCGTAAAATTCACTCAGACAACTTGGTCGTCATTTGCCAAAGATCATTGCCAAACAGCACTGCAAATAGATTGCCTGTAAAAACTGCAGATTTTAAAGCCTCGTTAACCTCTCAATCTGGGGGCCTTCAACGTGAGGACTTTGATGCAGGTGGGTTAACAAGCGTGCCTTGCGCGTACAATGAAGTCCTTAGAAATTCATGTTTGTTGCGTATCGGAGACACAAATTCAGGATATATATATATGTATGCCTTGATACCCTCGGGTTAATCAGAGCTGAATGTTACCAGGCGCATCCCCGGAGTGTGGAGAGGGGGATACCTTCACCGACGGCGGTGTCCTGAGAAAGGTAGATGTGGCTGGCATTTTAAAACGAAAGTCATTGACCGCCGCACTTCCAAGAGGAGGGATTGCTTCCTGCTGTCTTGCAGTTCGCACTTGGTTGTGCAAGCCTCAAAAAGCCTCAGTATGCTTCGGGGTGGACGTCTAGGGTTGCGGCTGGTTACCCTACCCTTACGCCTCGCCAAATGCTCCCATACGACCAAACGTCTCGAATAGCCTCTGTTGAGGAAGCCCTACTCACTGCCTTCTCGTGGCGGAGGTGTTT